TGACAGCTCACTATTTTGCATTTCGTTTTCAGACTGCTCACATTTTTGATGCGCATTAACATGATCAGCAGAACTGTCGAACCCACCAGTAACAGTAAGTTTCAGATTGCGTAGATGATCTCGGTTCCATTGTATATATATTATATGGTCTCACAAAGTCGCTCTGCAGATTTGTTTAGTAAACATTGCAGAGATATACTACAGCTTCCATTTCAGACACAGAATAATTACGAGGTTTGCAATCAGCCATAGCTTTTTAAAGGAAAGTGTAGGATGGGTAAATATTAACATTTCTCGATAGCGCATCTTTCACATGAGCTACGTATGTTCTTTTACTAAAATTAGATTCCAAGTAATATGCTAAGCCAGACTCGTTGGTGTGTTTGATTTGGACTTGCGCTTCATTAATAACATCATCTGGATTTTGTTGATTAATTTTTTTTTTTACATAATGTCAGAGCTAGCTCCAATAGTGCAACATTGTTATCAGCACTTTCAAGTATGTCGTGTGCTCTATTATATAAAACACGTTGACACGCTTTTTCAGTTTCCACTCTCTTTCTGACACCTTTCCTGCTATGTGGTCTTTTCAATTTTTTAGGACGGCCAGCACCTGGTGATACCTCAGTGCTCTTTCTTTTACATCGTGGATTCCTAGGCATTTTTTTTAATGAACCTCCTTTACAACATATTTTATTTCTTAAGGAGTGATCAAAAAGTATGCATGTGTGATAATTATAACAAGCACGCAGGCAGTATTATTTTTGGCTGATATCAAACTATTATTTTATTGTTATTACTGCCATTGATTTGTTAAACGTAGCAGAAAGGAATAATGATGAATATTATTTCACGAAAAACCCTTAATAACAGGCACGCACTACAAACTTCACCCGACCAATACTGTAGACTAAGTAAACTATACGGTCTCAGGTATAAGATCGTTTAGCTGGATTAATTACTACTAGCGTGGTGTCAGTTTAGGTGTATGGTTACTAAATACGAAATTTTTTTTTCTAATTTGGGAAGTATTATAAAGTCTACAGTAAAAAATGATTATTATGAATGGATTTCAGATCAAGTCCTACTGATTTTTAATAAGTATTCGTTTTGATTGTTTATTAATTAAAAACGTATTGAGTAAATATTGTAGAATCTAATAAGAGGAAACTAGCACTTCCAATTAAATTAATAAATAGTACTTTGATTTTAAAGGTAGTATAATCTTATTGCAAAACTAAATTTTCACATAAGTTGAGCATTATTTATTACAAGTTAAAATAAACATTGTAAACATTTTTTATTCGAACGAACTTTACACTACAGTACTTGTACAAAAAGATCTTGCAGGAAAACTCACAGGATCTTTTGAGTAAGAAAGTGTGACATTTATTAAGAATAATATGTTTATGTTTTTTATTAAAATTGTATCTAAACAGTAAATTCAAAACAACAAATTGGTAATTATGGTATTTATTCACAATGTTTTTTCCGATTTTACATATTGCGTATTAAGATACGGTCAAATACTAAATGCATAAAATATACTGAAGAAATCTTGACTAGTATGTAAAACGGGGCTTCAGCGAGAACAGCATAATGGCTACCTGTGATATTTTGAAAATTGTTGAGGACTTGCTGATTTTAAAGATATTATTGTTTACCTCTCCAACCGTCGAAAATTGTAAGATATTTCATCTCAAAGTTATTATAACATGAAAACCTTTATTCACTTGTGTTTGTTCTTAAAAATGAACGATTTATCGAGGAGTTACCTCATAAACTAATACGTAGTACTACACCGTGTGCATTTTTGGAAAGAGACACTTTGTATACCAAGGTAGTGGTAGATTTTTTTAAATTATAAACGACCCCAAAAAACCCCCATGTACGTATACTCATGGACTTTCAGCGATTTTTCATTTTTTCAGCCGTCATATCGGATCCGCCATTTTGAATTTTAAAATTTTTATGTACAATTCCAATTCAGCGACTACAAAAACATAAGTATACCAATTTTCAGAAAAAAATAATAATCTGCTGGCATGCTAGACAATAATTTAGTCGATTACCAGTGCTGGAGGGTGACTTTAGGGGTGGTTTCCACCCGCGTAAGTATTTTTTTTTATTTGGACCAATTATCTGTTATTCTACGCAATCTTACCTTGATGCTTCAAAAAAAATCATCTTGATCGGTTCAATACAGCAGCCGCTATTTTATTGATTCAAAAAAAAACACGTTTTTGCCCACTGTTTGGCCCTTACCCTCTTGACTCTAAACATTCAACCAGGAATTACCGATCCTCTCGAAGGTCTGCATTGGGCGAACCTATCAGTTATAAAGGGAAAAAAAACTTGAGCCAACGGGACAGTCTCCAACGGGCAAGCATCACGAACCAATCTCCCCATCTTAGATCACCAACACAACTGAGTGCAAAAAAAGGTGCTTTAGACACCAACGTCTTCGACGTTATACCAGGAGACGTTGGGAAAGATCTCTATAACTAATTCCAAAGCTTCGGACTTGTCCGAAGTCTGATGCTTCAACAGCAGGCCAGAGAAAATCACCCCAAGGTATCCAGTAGTCATAATTGCTCATAATTTCAGTCAAGAAAGAGTTTACTTAAGAAGATCACCGTTTTTTAGGGCTATCAGATGTTGAACTACCTTGCCAACTAATATATTAGAACTTAACAAAGTTGACAGAAGTTTAGGGGTCACAAAAGTCTTAAGCATGCCAAAAGTCGCAAGAGGGTAAATCAAAAGAAAAACTTTAAATGTATCTAATAAATACACTTTCAGGCGTCAAGAAATTGACGCAGAAAATTTATCGAGATTGGAACAGCAGCGTCAAAATCAACAAATGAAGAATCCATTTCGTGGGAGATCAGCTTTTCATTGTACCCTAATAGTAATCTCTTAAGTCTTTCAGTTTTTTAAATAAATAGAAAATGTATTTGTATTTTTGTGGCGATAAAAAATGTAGAGATTCAACTCCAGGACTTTGTTGCTCTGGTAATAAAGTTTTGAGATAAGAGAAGGAAAAATTTTTTAGTATATATTTTTTGGGGGTCTTAAGTCTTACAGCTCTAAAAATTAGCCCTTTTCGTAAAATTTAAATTAATTAAAATACGGGAGGAACTGTAAATGATTGGCCCCTTATGGCCAACGATTATTTTATGGCACAAGGAATGCAAGGTACTTTTTAGCATAGTTATATTTTTTTTAGTTTTTACAGCTTATTATTTGACCAAATAAACGGTATGGATTCCGAAAAAACATGTTTTTAATAAGAAGACTTTTGCTCTGAGAAGTGTTAGGAATATATGTAACATTTCTAACTGAAAACCTTTTACATTACATGTCAACACACTACGGTGCTCCATCTAGTGAGTCTCGGGTGAAGCTGAGACGGGGGACCACTAGTTAAATAATAATTAATTCATAGTTAGTTTAATGCTGATAAAGGCCATTTTACATAAATAATGTTAAACAATAATTAATGAAACAGTGAGTTCTAGAAAATTTAGTTAACAATTCACTTAAGGAAATTAATTTAAAAACTTTAACGTTAGTAGAACGTTAGAATAAATAAGGTGTCTTCGAAGATTACAGATTTAATTTTGATATGTTAGAAATCAGAAGTTAATGTTTATCTTAATGTGGTTTGATTCTGGTGCAGAAATCGAGGTTTCGTATTCTTATATCGCCAGTTAATTGCCTTTCTCATGCTTTTTCAAAATCTATAACAACTTTTCTTTACAATAATTTTTAAAACAATTACATGTACTAAGAACAGTTAACCATAGGAAGAAAAAATTAATACAGTCATAATTTTATTTACTGGCTATGAATTGAAAAAAGATTATTTGAAGTGACCTATTTTTTCATACAAGTAAGAATATCGTGACAACGGCTACCAAAGCCTATAAGAAATATTTGCGTTTCAACAAGCTGAATTAACTTTACTTTAGATGCTTTTTTTAGAATATTTTACAATGACTAGTTTATGAAGGAAGTCACAAAAACAACTTAATTAATTTGTTTGATTTAAAGCTAACTGTTTGGAATAATAATTAAACGGTGAAAAATTTACCCAAGAAAATTGTTATCGTTAAATAAAAATTAAACTTTCCTACAAACAAAAATTGGGAGGTTCATACAGATAATTTTAAGGGATTTCTCCATATGGTTACATGTTAAATTCCAAATTTTTGGAATTAAACATGTAAAAAAGAGTACACTTAAACGATCTGCAATGTTAATGTAAAGGTAAATCATCATCACACTTCGTATCAATGTTCTTTAAGTGAATCTTATGCTATTTCTCGTACACTTTAATGCTTGAATAATATATGTTAAAAAAATCTATGAGTGATGAACCTCCTGATGGGAGATTCACTGGCATGTATCACTATTCTATTTAAAAAAGCGGTACTATTGGATGGTTTTTCCTAATTTTTGAGATATAATTATATTTTAAGTATTAATTATGGAGAAGAAATACTGTGTGAGCGTAATTTTCGAAATGTAATCAGCGTAGGAGGTAATAAGTTGTTTTTAAACCATCATAAGATTCAATAAAAGCGTACAGTCTTGTACTGGCCAGCCTACAGATTGTTCATATTATATTGTGCCATAATATGTTGTTTATAGTTGTTCAGTTATTAAATATTTATTGCACCACCTTTGTACATAATATCGTTTCATAGAAGGTGTATATTTATATTTATAACTATATTATCTGCCACATAATTTTATAAAACTATAACTTCTTACTTGGGTACCCAAGCACCTACTGTCCACTGGTTATGTAATTTAACGTCATGAAAGTAGAACGAGTAGTAATCTTACTCCGTTTTTAAGAACGCAACAAAAGCATACTAAATGAACAACAGAAGCATGTTTTTTTATTTGATGGAATTATTTTGAATTAAATATATAATCACTCAAAGTCTTTAAAATAAATGCAAACACATTTATGTTTATCTTTCAGAGTGATGTTATCCCTAACATTATTCTTTGGATTCATCATCTCAGCTTTCGCGAGCTACATCCCACCTGGGCCAAAATTTACATGCTCAAAGATTAAAGCAGTTATTCATCCATGCGTTTGTGTTCATGGCAGTGATCAAGGTGTCTACATAAAATGTGATAATACAAATTTAGCCAGTTTGAGTCTGGCTTTTGTCAGTCTTGGAAATGAGAAAGTTCTGATTGAAGAGCTGACTATTTATAAATGCAATATAGGTTTGAAAACAAAATATTTATTTTATTTGTACAATAATTTACGTAAAAGTTTTAGTTTCACTCGGAATGTTTTTCAGTTTTTAGCCCTTTAAGTGTTTCAAATTTATTTAAATTAAATGAGTTTCAGTTTAAAAAAATGTTCACCGCTATATCTTTTAGATCAAACAATGATACATAAAGTAAATCATTTTAAATGTCATTGATAAAACTATAGTATCTATCACATAACATAAATTGATGGAATTATTAGTAATAATGGTTACACAATCAATACGAATACATATTTGACTATATTTGAAAAAAAATTTTGTTTTAAATAGTTATAATCCTGATCGTCATTATTATAATTTTTTCATATCTACTTCACTTCAAAGTACGATTTTATGGACCAGCACTTTACCAACTAAACGTTCGAGTTTTGAAATTCATTCAAACTCCATTAAAACTAATTGAGGAGCATAGTTTTCTTGGCGTGAATAGAACATTACAAGAACTGTACCTAATCCAAAGTTCACTAGAAAAGTTTCCAAAAGAAGCTTTCAGTATTTTAGGCAATCTTACAACTTTGAGTATTAGAGGGCACAGAATAGAAGAGCTACCTAGTGATATTTTCGCAGATAGTCTTGCTGCCTTGAAAGTTGAGCGATTTGATTTTAGCAATGGTGAAATATATTCTTATATTTTAAATGTTCTGTCATATCACAAACAATCATTTTGAAAAGTGTTATTTTTCTTACAGGCAAACTAAATTTGTTACCTATAGAAACCTTTGGACCGCTGAAGAAACTTAAAATTCTTGACTTGCACGGAAATCAAATTCAAGACTTACAGCGGAATCAATTTAAGGGTTTAAGAGATGTGGAAACTTTGGATTTATCTTACAATTTGATAGATAAACTAGATGCATCATATTTTTACGACCTTACAAAGCTGGGATCCTGTAATATTTCGAATAACAGAATTACCGAACTAAAAAGGCAATTCACTTTATTTTACAATAATCATTAATAATGTCTTATTGAATAATATTACTGGAAGAATAAAAAATTCATAATTTATTAAACGTAAATTTATATAAATAAATAATACAATTTAAAAAGCCTATTTACGTTAATAGAGGCACTTTTGCAAGAAATTCATTGATAAAAGTACTCAATCTAAACAACAATAAAATTCAAAAATTAGATTCCAATACTTTTCGAGGAATGCGCCTTCTGAGAAGACTATACCTGAGTAACAATCGTATTAGTGAGGTTAGCCGAGGAACTTTTGGAACGATGACAAGAATTGGCGTCATTGATGTGTCTAAAAATATGATTAAGAAGGTTGATTATCAAATGTTCTACCAACTACAGTATGCAGAAGTAAGCTGTTTTGGACTTATTTGAAAATACAACACTTGCCTATTATTTAAGAATAATGCTGATCTTTTATTATTAAGCACATAGATGTATCTGAAAATCAAGTGACTATCGTAGAGAAAGAAGCCTTTAAGGGCTTGTTCTCAGCTGTAGTTAATCTTTCTCACAATGTAATTACTAAAATTGAGAGTAGTGCTTTCGAAAACTGTGCCAACATTGTCATATTAGATCTTAGTCATAACAGAATCGAAGATATATCCCAAACAGCATTTGACAGCGCCTCCTACGCTACCACACTACAATTAAGTTTTAACTTTTTAACTTCACTGAACCAGGTGATTCCGTTATTTGTTTAAAACAGCTATGTATGAGTTTCATCAAGAGTTCAAAACAAATATGCAATAGATTTAATATAGAAATAATATTGTGTTATGTCATATGTACGATGATTTTAATAAGACTTATTATTCTATTTTTTAGATACCTTTGTATAATATGACCGGCTTAAAAGTCTTGAATGTTTCTTACAACGTTATTCGATCAATTCCACGACAAACATTTCCAAAACTTTATGAACTTCACACTATTGATTTATCTCACAACAATTTTTCAGATATCTATAATGCCATCTTTCAAACTTTATTTAACTTACGTCACCTGAATTTATCACATAATTTTATAGAAAAAATAAATCCTTCAACGTTTGGTCATTTGCCAACATTATTGGATCTGAATTTAAGTTATAATAAACTAAATGACGTATCTAAAGGAAGTTTTACAAGATTAGCCAGTTGCAGGTAGGTTTTCTAACGACAATTATTAAGTATACTCGAATGTTCAAATATAATGTTAGGGAACCTTCATTAAATTGTTTAATACAATAAACACCAAGTAACATTTGAGGAGACCTGAACAAATATCTTAATAAAACTAATAAATTGTTTATTTTAGAACATTGTCCGTAAAGCACAACGAGTTGAAGAAGATTTTTCTGATTCCCATATCATTGGATTATCTGGACTTTTCTGAAAATCTTTTAGAAGAGATTCCAAGTATCGATGTTTGGCCATCCATGAATGCGTTGCGTTCTCTTGATTTATCTAAAAACCGACTTGGAAACAATCTTGTTTATGGCAGCTTCGAAAACTTACGTACTCTCAGAACTTTAAACCTCCAAGCTAATAATATAAGTAATCCTCCCGCAGAAGCTTTAGGTATGCTTTCCAGCTTGCAGTACGTTTATCTCCAGGTATGCTTTTCCTCGGGCTTATTACAATAAAATTTACTATATAACCTAAATAGCTGATAATTTTTAAAATAAGATGTTTAGTTTGTATCGTAAGAATATACTTCATTTTGTGTGATATATTATTAACATACAAGGGTCATTGTTCTTAGAAACTCGTTTTAAGAAACTTTTTTTTAAGCATAGCTTCTTACATAGGGCTCTTGCTTGACAAAAATACTAAGAAGTGTCACATTTTATCTTGCCCTCTACATTCCTGTTCGTCCCCACCACCGCATGTTCTCTCGAAAGCGAGAGTATAGTATAGCGTAATATAGTGGCAGGCACGCGTACGCACTCTCTCTCTCTCTCTCTCGCTCTTTGTCTTTCTTTCTCTCTCAACCAAGAGCCATAAGAAATATTCGATTACTCCTTGTTATGGTTTAGTACATAACTTATTTTTAATATTAATTTTTGTTTATTTTTATGAACTAATTTGGTTTGATTGTATATTACATAAATAAATAAATTATTTGATAATCTAATTTCTTTAGTTAAATATTCTTTTCGAAAACTCAGAAATTAGTACATTTTCGCAGAGCAGCTTAAGGATGGATTATTCAATATCGATTTACTTATCATTATTTTATAACTATGACGATCACTAAATAGTTGTTAATACAATTTTTTCATTTTTTTATAATTTTCGAAAATTAAAAAAAAAGTTTCCGAACTGTGTATAAACAATAACTGGTATTTATTGTGATTCATTCTTTCACAACTTTTTCATTCGTAAAAGTGATTAGGGTAATTTTTTGACTTAAGGACATTTATCACATACACAGAAAAAAATTTGGTACTTCAACAGCCTAGGTGATTGGACTGTTAGAGTTGAACCAAATTTTTGAGGTATTACAGTCCTGAGCTCCACTTCATACAGGCAGAAGATTGCACTGTATACTTTCAATACAGCATTGAACGGCGACGCGTCAATCGTTAGGCTCTCTACAGTTCAGTGGTAGCATTGAACATCCAGAAGCCAAATAGGGGGAGCGCACGAGCTCAAGTCATGGGACCATTTTGGCACATTGGAAGGGCTTGGCTTCTTCGTATATATAGGTATACTTTGAGCATTCAATCTGCTCAAGTCCTTCCAATGTGCCGAAATGGTCCCATGACTCGAGCTCGTGCGCTCCCCCTCTTTGGCTTCTGAACGTTCAATGCTACCACTGAACTGTAGAGAGCCTACCGTCAGAGTTAGGTGGCGCCAACGATTGACGCGTCGCCGTTCAATGCTGTATTGAACGCATACAGTGCAATCTTCTGCCTGTATAAAGTCGAGCTCAGGACTGTTATACCTCAAAGATGTGGTTGAACTCAAACAGTCCAATCACCTAGGCTGTTTAAGTACCAAATTTTTTTCTGTGTAGTAAGTGAGAGAAAAGTTCAGAGAGGTGAGAAGAGCGCAAATAAATGCAGCAGCTCTGGCAATTATTTTTTCATATGGATGTACTTGCATACACGCTTTTACGCATACTTGACTTTCTGTCTTGTATTATTAGAAAAAACTACTTATGGATGTATTTCAAAATTAAAAAATTTGTTTGAAAGTAATACAAACGAGAATAACGAGATTTCAACAGACTTTATAAATGCAATTCTACGTAATTTCCCACAACGCTACATTTTAACTTACAATGTTTGAGAATTAAACATATAAAAAAGGGTACAGTTAAGAGATCTTAAATTTTTTGCAGGTTTTTTTTTATGCTATATTTAATATATGTTTACCCCACTCTTTTGCACCCTCCTCACTCTCCACTATTTCTATCCATCTGCTCAAACAGCACCAAAAGGGAAAGAGATTTGATGTTTCTTATCACGTTCGAGAAGAAACTGTTTCAAAGAAGTCACGTCCGCATGCAGTGCACCTTTATTGCTGTAGATAAAAATTTCCGTGAAAACCCAAACGCTGCAAACACATCAACTTATAAAAAAATTTCAAGATATGACAAACACCAAATATTGTTTTTAGTCAAATAAAAACAAAGCCACATACGTCATCAGCCATTCGTGCCCTCCTCACTCCCGCATTGGAACAAGCAACTCCATGCCACCAACACCGTGTACAACTAAACAGCCTCTCTTTCCCCTTTTCCTCTCCCTCTCAATAATATTAACAGTAAGTTGAAAACATGATTATTCATAAACATAAATAAACAACATAAAAATAATTACTGATAAGATTTACACTTAGATAAATGAACAAGGCTCACGAAATTACGATCATCAATACTAATGTTGTTACTATTACTATTATGTTTATCATTATTATTATGATTATTATCATTATTATTGTTATTTTTATTATTGTTATTAATACTATTATCATCATTATTATTATTATTATTATTATTATTATTATTATCATCATTGTCACTTGTACGATTACTATTGCCACTATTTTTACTATAACTACTACCACTACTGGAACTATTGTTATTATATTTGCTATAATTTTTTTTTATTATCACCGCTACTGCTATAACCATTATTATTATCACTATTATCACCAGTTATTTCACTGCCATCTCTTTTTTTTCATTAATTAAATGTGCTCGTTTTTTTATTAATAACTAGCACTATCATTTCAGTAACATTAGTTATAAGAAACGGGAGGAAAAAGGGATATTGTCTCCACTCTCTCTAGTATGTTGGGCTGGGAAGAGGATTCTCTAAAACTTGCAAACCATCACGTGGTTGAAGAATATTTGGCTTTTGTGCAATCAGCAGCTTTAAAAGCATTAACGCTTTCGTTTGCCTGACTAGACGATCCATGACTGAATTTTTGAGAACTACTAGCTAATGATTCAAACAATATTTTAAGATTTTTAAATAAGTTTGGACCTTGAAATTCATCAGCAACAATAAAGTTTCTGTAATTATCTTTATCGAAAACAAATCTACACCATTCTTAACACGTACTGTGATCGTTGAATACATGGAGAGGAATTTGTTGAATGGCACTGGCCACGTTTTCACTATCGCTTCAATTTCGTGACACAGCGTAGAAGAAGGATCGAGATAAGTATTTAATAGCAACAGCATTTAATTTCTTATGCTTTTTTGGAAGAGTGTACAGCTTACTAGTGATTCCTGCCGTAATGTGATAAACGTATGACAGCTTAATCACATATTGATCAGTAGATTGTCAAACAGCTGCAATAGCCGAGCTATTGTCATTACCTATCATCACCCCAACGTTTGTGTTACATGATATCAAAATTTCACTGCCATTCATAAGCTACTTTGCTAAGTCTGCTTCTATAGTCTTGGCGCTGCCATAAAAGTTTAGTCAACAATTACAATCACATGCATCATATTCCATATTACACAAACGGTACTTGCGATTATTCTATCCAATAATAGCAAAGCCATTGAGGCTATTGTATAATCTTCCAGTTTTCCTTTATTTTTATACAGTGTCAAATGACATGACAAGTGGCACCAAGGAATCATCACTTATTTGGAAATTTTGGGATGCATTCGTTTCACCAATCTGTGGGATTGAAAATTTTTTACTCAGGTTTGGAGGTCTGAAAAAGAAGCAATCTTATTTTGAATACAATAGAACACACACAAATAGTCGTATCTATAAACAATTTTAATTTTTTTACTGTAAAAGATTAGAATAGTAATAAAAAAAATCACTGGTGATAGATTAAAAAGTTGTTAATTGAGATAAATAAAAGTGTGTGCAACGACGATTGTTAATTAAAAAATAGTGCTTTCAGTTATGTACACATTGATCAAATAATTATTCAGTAATAGTTTAAATATATAAAGATACTGGTTACGGTACAGGATGCTACTACTTTTATGTGACAATAAAGTACTGAATTTTTTTTAAATCAATAGTTATGTGTTATAAAAGGAGATATAGGATGGAATCAATTATATCATAATAGACAGGGAATCTATATTCTTAAATATTGCTGTTAACGTTAACGTATATCTTAACAGTATTGCATTTCCATTTTCCATTCAATGATTTTTCAAGTAAAAAATTTTAGTGTGCATATATACAAGGTTGAACGAATATTAAATCTTCATTTGGTATACAATTTTTTATGAATAACTACTATTTGTTTACCTGATATGGATGGGGAATCAACATCATAAATTTTTCTGGGAAACTTATCGTCGAACCAGCTGTTACTGCATCCTATCCCAAGTTAAGACGTCACTAAAGACGTCTTTAAGGATTTTATTAATGACGTCACCAAAGACGTCTCAAAGACGTATTTAAACGTATTGAGACGTATTTTAACGTATTTAAAGACGTTATTCAAGACGTATCTAGAGACGTAATTAACGATGTCTCTGAAGACGAAACTAAAGACATATCTAGAGACGTTTATGTGTAACAAAAAACCTCAACAAAAAATGATCCCTGCAAAGACGTCTATAAAGACTATAAGACGTCTTTAAATACTTCATAAAGGACATATGCACCCATGCGGGGTTTTAGACGTCTCTAATAACGTCTTTTATGACGTCTTAACTTGGGTTAGGGCAATTACTTGTTAAAACGATATGCAGTTGCAGGCAACTGTGACACCTTATGCTAAACAAACTTGCAAGCCAACATTGTCTTTTGCTTTCATTGCAAGATAAAGACAATACGTGTTTTTAAAAGAAACAAAAAGGCTGGATCCAAAATAATGAATGTCAACCATACATCGACCCTCTGTAACCTTTGAGGATACGACTTCTTTTTTTTGTTTTTTTCATCTCGTTGAGATTTTTGCAGATTTTAGCAAAACTCCTGTTACTTTTATCTCTGATAAAAAACTTTGAGTGACAAATTTTTATCTTTAAATTAATATACTTTTTGTTCGAACAAATTCATTTCTGTCAAAAGTATTCTCACGTAAACACAACGAATCTTCTATCAAGTGTCTACTGCTACAATATACTGCTACACACGTTTTACTCATACATGTATCAATCATTACCACCAA